CAACCTTAATGATTCTATGATTCTAGACATGGGTTAATATTTATTTACTTAAGCTAATGTTTAAATGTGACCTGGAAGAGAGTAGGGGTGAAAGCTGCAGGGCTATGGAGTGGTGGTACCCCTGAGTTACTGCCTCTGTCTCAGCCCATAACGCTCCCATCTTTTGGGGATCTGGGGTAGTTTATGTTCATTGAGGACTCCTGGTCTTTCTTTGTGCTGCTGAATAAGCGCAGGTGGCTGTGCGGCTGGGGAGCTCAGGCCCTGCTCCCTGGTGCAGCGGTATTATTACTACCATTTTAAAAAGTCTATGTGGGGATTTTACTGGAAATTGGTGCTCTAGAGCACTTTCTTTAGGCCACGGGACTGCTGGCAAAGGCAGTGCTCTGCAACTTGCTCTCCAGCTGTTGAGCAAGGTCCTGGTTTGATCGTGAAGATGTGCTTTGCCTTTGACTTTCAAGCAGTAAGGAGAGACTGTGAACTCCACAGTCATGGTGTTTTCTCCATCTCCTGACATAGTTTGGGTCTTTCCAGGTAGGACCTTCAGAGGGAGAATCTCTGCCAGAGAGGTCAGCCTTACCAACCTTCAGCTTCAGGACAGTGCTGTGTACCAGTGCGAGGCCAGCAACAAGCACGGCACCATCCTTGCTAACGCCAACGTGAACGTTCTCAGTGAGTACCCTCCTGGCCTTTCCTGTTCAAGATCTAACTGAAGTGTCCCATTCTGCTGATTGAATGCTTCAGAACAGCTTGGGGATTGTAACCACGTCATTGTTCTTTCGCATTGGCCCCAGACTTTAAGAAATACGTTGTCCAAACTAATGCAACAAGCCGTATCATGGGCAATATTATATGCTTAGTATAAGTGCTCATGATCTTTGATATACTCTTTATTTTAAAAATGTGGTTGTGGTTGGGCTGAAAACCTTCTGAATTCAAATGTACTAAAACCACTGGGGGCTGAATTATGACCACAACTCTGTTTTTGAATTATTAAGTGTATTGTTAATCTTTAATTTCAGTTGTGATGCTCAGCCTGTTCTTTGAAGAAAGGGTGGTGGAAATTTGTTTAATAAAAGAGGTCTCTAGAGGAAGCAGAATTGGGTCTGTTTTCTCTCCTGGAGCACGTTGATGTTTCACGTTCTGACATGTCCAGCAGTCAACCACTGTTATCTTTGTCAGTGAACCTTATGAGAGCTCAGGTGCTCTGCGCAACTGGTTCCAAAAGGCAGTGAAATTCCCATTAAGTGGCTAAGCCTTTGACCTTTGCTGGGAAAGGGGATGATGCAGGGACAGTATTTATATTCCCAGTTCTGAAATGCAGTGCTGCTCATTTTGCATTCTCCTCTGCAGATATTGCTCCGTTAATACTGACCTCAGATGGTGAAAACTATGCCACAGTTGTGGGTTATAGTGCCTTCCTGCACTGTGAAATTTTTGCCTCGCCTGCAGCAGATATTAGATGGTAAGCCACTGAGAACTGATGTTTTCAAGTGAAACAAGTTCATATAGGCTCCCCAAACATTGAAAAATGTGCTAGTTATTATTTCTATGGAAGTAAAATTAGAAATTTGTAACAAAATTGTATATAATATAAGTATTCTGTGTTTAAATGCACTTTCAAGAACCCTGAAGAACTGGTTTATAAAAAAAGGTTAATGAAAGACCTCAATACCTGTGTGAGACAAGTGCTGGGATATTCATTAAAGCAAGCCATGCTGTATATAGCCAAATCCTGCTACAGCTTCATCAGCCTTAGTTTAATGTTGGCAACTTTTTAAGTTTGGACACATTATTGAGTTGGAAACGTGATGACTTACAGAGCATACTTACCTGGAAATGATTCCATACAGTTGGAAATCACAGGATTGTCATAGCACTTGACAGGTGCAATAAAATTGGAGATGACAGCTATAGATTAAAGACTCAGCCAGACTACTTTAAAGACCTTGATAGACGCTGTCAGTGTGTTTTTGGTTTGCAGGAAGCTTATGTCCCTTTATGATTTGCTGCACATGGGTAAAGTTATTTGCTGATCTTGATTTGATTGTTCAGTGGCAGAGCTGAGACCAGCTCCCAAAATTCCTGTGTCCCCTGCAATATCTGCATGAAATAACAGTTCCTGCAGCCCTGGAAATAACCCATAACTATTATTATCCTCTTCAGGACTAAGGATGACAGCATAGAGCCACTTTCAACGTTCCGCTATGAGTTAAATAAGAATGGCACCCTAGAGATCAAAGAAACAAAGAAAGAAGACTCAGGATCGTACGCTTGCTGGGCTGCAAACTCTGTTGGAAAAAGAGCAATCACTGCTAATCTGGATATAAGAGGTAATGTCTCACTTATGAATAGAAAGACCTTTGACATCTGCTAAGGTTTTATATTTACAAATTTTCAGTAAATAAGTAATTAGTAAATACTCAGTCCAAGATACAGATTTATTCTGTGAGGCTATAAATTCTCTGTATAATAAGACCTGAAATTGTCTCTATTTTTTGTGTGATTTCTCCATGCTCATACATGGTGTTCGCTTTCTTCTTGACACTTCAAGAAGCTGCATAAGCCACCAAAAACTGTAGTTTACTTCCCAGATCTGTTAACTTTATTATCTTGAAAGGATTTTCCCTCCTTCTTGCCATCCGCCCTGTTACACTCAGAGCAGGTTCTTGGCTGACCCTCAGGAGCCCAGGGCCCTCCCTGTGCTCGTGGGCTTGGTGTGGGGTCCCCGCTGAGCCAGACAGGGTCCCTGCATCTCCCACAGCCGTGGGCTTCCTCCTTCCCTAACGCTACTTCCCATCTCTTCGTCAGAAGGTACATCCCAAACTGAATTAATATCCGCAGGGAACACCAGGCACGTTGCAGCAGGATGAGTTAGGGGATGCTGCTGGTTTGAGGGCTTTGCAGCGGGCCTCTGCCTGATTAGCAACTTGACAAATATTTGTAAATAGAGAAAAAAATTACTGAAATGCGTTTACTCATACATTTCAGATACATACCTTGTGCTCTAATTCTGTTTTAAGGGATTTATTTGGTCGGTTGGGCAGGAAGGGTTTTTTCCCTGGGGGGGATGGTAGTAGACAGCTTCTGCTGAGCACACAGGTTAAATTTAGTGGGTTGCATACAAATTTATTTAGGATTTAGGGCTTGCCAATAAAAAAGACCCCTTCAATACTCAATTAGCAGAGTCCTCAAAAGGACTTTCAGATGCAGGTTTGCTGTGACAAACTCAAGAAAGAAATACTCCTTTTGTGTTCTATTTCCACACACTCCCTTTGCTTTGTAAATTTTTTGCAGTGATAATAAACATGAAAATGTACAATGAAATTCTCACAGAGCAACATTTCACTGTAAAAAGAAATTCAGCCAACTGCTTTCTTCTTACTTATTCATCTGTTTCTGCATTCAGATTAGAGTCAATTAAAAGAACAAACTTGATTGCAATAATTTTTTCTCACTTGACTTTAATAAGCTTGTAATTTTTCTTGGATCATTGCCAAAGCCTATTTCAAATGGCAATTGGACATAAAAATCATATTCAAGCTTTTTTTTTTATCATCCATTTCATGACAGTCTGCTAACAAGGATTTTCACCTGTGACTTTTTTTTGTGGTTGTTTTTTTTTTTTTTTCTGGAGCTCTTTGGTTTGGAGTGAACTAAAAAAGAATTTTTCAAGATAGAAAATGAAATCCTGGCAAATATCTATTTCAAAAACAACCATCCTGCACTTGAAATGTTTGTATATATAACAAAAAAGACATGATCATTGCTCCTAAGGTTGATTTTTAGATACGAAGTGCTTGGAGAAAATTTGATGTAATAGTCTCTCTCTCCTAATCAAAGTGTTTTTCTGTCATCAATCAGATGCTACAAAACTTGTTGTTACTCCGAAGAACCCCCGAGTGTTGAAATCACATTCCATTTTATTGAAATGTCAGTCTGAATATGATTCACACTTGAAACACAGTTTTAAATTATCCTGGAGGAAAGATGGAGATGGGCTGCCAGTCAACAGCACGGAAGATGGCAGGTAAGCAGGGAAGAAACAAAAGTTTTCTTGATCTCAGCTGAATAATGCTGTATGGTGCGGGAACATGAGTTGCAATAAACATGAGACTTAATAGCTTGAAATGCAAATTTGTGTCTGCAAGAATTCTTCATGCCATATGTGAATAGATCTGCATTTTATGTATGTATAAATATAAATGCATCTATAGTAGTTTTGAGCCATGGCTGGCAAATGATTTTGTTTTTTATTAACTCTCTCACCATCACAGCAGAATATTGCATAAATGTTGGTTCAACCCAAACCCACAACCCTAGCCCCAGTGCAGTCAGCTGGGGTTTTGTTTCTCCACTTCAGTGGAACTATTATTCTCCTGTGTTTTATACCTGTTTGGCGAAAGCAATTCCTTGTAATGTTAACATGAATGTAAAACAGATTTCTGGGATTCTGCCTAAAATCGTACACATTAAAAACAATGAGTTTTTCCTACGTATGAGTTTAGGACTTGCAAGTGCAGGCTGAACTTTGCCCTACTATTGTGTTTCCATTGACCTTAAGGGGACGGAGCTCAGCCTTTATTCCATATGAGGTGTCCCACAGTTAGCAGTCAAATGTCTTTATTAATTACCACAGAAAAGAGATGGTTTCCTAAATACTGTGGTGCTGGAGAGGTTGAAGATCCTGCTGAGGCCACGTAGTGCGGGGAGATAGCGCCAAGCAAATGCCATGTGCCTGGGTCAATGCCAACTTCCCCTGGTGCATTGGACATTACACAAGTGGGTTGGGAATGCTCGGTTTTACTCAACCCTTTCAAAAATTCAGACATAAAGCCCATGTATTTGCCTCATTAACGATGTGCCAAAATCCTATGTTCCAGACACTCAGCCGATGCATATCAATGTGGCTCTGTTCAGACCAAGAGAGACATGCCAACTTCCAGCCATGGAGGCTAAATTGCTACAAAATACAAATAATAGTCTACAGCACAGTGTATAATACAACTACAATTACGTTTTAAAGTAATAGGCCTAACGTCCAATTATGTTATTCAAAATGTCCTGTTACCAAGTTTTTTTATGAATAGTTTTTCGGAGAACAACAGTTCTGTCTGTCATATGCTTATCTAACAGATATTTCTCTTCCTTATTTGTATGTACCTTTTTTTTTTCCCCCGTAGGATAATTCTGGACAGGGATACACTGTTCATATCAAGCGTGACACTGGAGGATCAAGGAGTTTACACGTGTGTGGCTAGCACTTCTCTGGACAGCGTCACAGCCGAATCGCAGTTAATTGTTCTTGGTAAGAGGATATTTTCCCGGTGCGCAAACAGCTCCGTGCAGTACCTAATGCCGTTGCAGCACTTTTGCTTGTTTGTTTCTTTCGCCCAGTTCAGTTACAGAGCCTCAATAACCCAGTTTCACAGAGGTGCAATGTACCTCTCACTCGTTAACCTCGGTTGTGCTATCCTTGTATCTCCTGGAATGGGGATGCTGACGCAAACTTTTCGTTTATATTTAATCTTTGTTATAACTAAGACGAGGCAGTGGCTGTAGGAGCTTGCCCAGGCTGCAAGGTGTAATAGCGTATTGAGAATGGCTCTGCTTCTGCTTTGAAGTCCTTGGTCAGTCCTTCACCCCGCTTTACTAGAGACTTGCACGCGAATTACCGCTTGGGCTGTTTTTTGAAGAAGAAAAACATAAGGCCAGTATTTAGATGTCCAACTCCTCTGAAGATCAGTGAAAGTTAAGCACCTAAAATGATTAATTATCTCTGTGAATCTGAGCATAAATTATTGTCCAATGGCAAAGAGCAAGTCCACAGCAGAGAAAAGCCTTGACCCACAGACTCTGAAGCTTGACCTTGTGTGATCATCCTTAAACCTGCCTCCCTTCCTGAAGGACCACTGGAAATTAAGCGGGTGAACTTGAGGAGTGATGCGAAGCCCTTTGCACATGTACCTAAGGACATCAACCAATAGCTAAAATTCTGTTTTGTGGACAGTTTTGCATCATTTTAATTTCATTAAGTTTTGCTTCATTTGACATTTTTAATTATTTCTGGCAGTGATTGCAACAAGAACTAAGACAATCTGACCTTCAAGACGTTTTCACACTTTAAATGAATGGTATTTTTCAGTAAATAGTAAATTAAGAAGATGCTATGCACATTATTTATGGTACTGTGTTCCTAAGTGCTGTATAATTCAAAATGTTTGCAGACAATTTGTTACATTACTTATGAAAATTTTATGAAGCACTTTATTCCCTTTTAAAAAGGTGAACTGCAGAAGAGGAAAAATAGTCTTGTGCTCTTTCCCCCTTGTTTATTGTATCTAAGAAAGGTCTTGGTGGATTAACAATATCTGTTATTTTCCAAGTGAAAAATTCAGGCTTCTTTTGCGATATGGCACAGATGGAGACATCAGAATATGGGCAACTAAGAGCAAAAGAAATATTCAGTTAGAATACTTCTAAGTATTTGTTCTATGATTAATAAACAGAGCGGTGCATCTTTAAGATGCATCATCGTCGTCTTTAAATGAATATACTGAATTTTAATACCAGATGTGCTCCAAGAATAGAACAGCAAAATGCCTGTAAATTAAACTGTGCTTTCCTGATTTTTCCCAAGTACAACAGAAATAGGGGAAAGAAATGCAAAGAAAACTAAAACAAAAAACCCAACCCAAATACAACCTTTTAAACTTTTTTATGTACCCTGAGATAAACAAGAAAACTCAATATTGTTATTTAAAAAATTCAGTACAAACACAATTAATTTCTTTCACAGACAGAGACAGTTTTGGCAGTTGAGGTAGCTGTTTTTCCTATAAGAAATGACACTGTCAGCCAAAAAAGTAGTTGGGATGTTGGGGCAGGAGGAGGCCAAAGACCCCAAGTTGTGCAATCTCTTTTCCTTGGTCTGTACATTTTTTAGATTTTGAAACACCAGCCCTATGTTTAAGGAGGGGGAGTGTGTGTGTGTGTGACTTTGGAAGGATGAGGGGTTACCATCAGCCCCCTGCAGTGAGAAATCACTCTTTTACATCAGGCCCTATACATTTCAGTTACCAAACTAATCCAATGCAATCAGACTGCAAATTGTCAAAGCAAGCCAGAAGGAAGATAAACATCTGTCAGTCTGAATCCGCTAAATTTGAAAGCGTTCGTTCAATTACAGGCAATTTGGCAGGCGACCCATGCCGCAGATCACCTCTTCTGCCCCGATGCTGTTGGGAAACCGGGCGCTGTTGCAGACGTGTGCCCCCCTCGCCGTCTCCCAGGACTGGGAGGGGGAGCAGCCTATTTCAATGGTGCTGGTTTGCAGTTTTTCAAGGACGCACCTCAGCCCTGGTTAAGGGGCAGGAACCACGTCCCTGCAAAGGGAGCTCTGACAGCAGCAGGGTGCTCCTGCGCTCAGGGCTTGCGTAGTCCCGCACTTGGCCCCGGGAGATGCAGTGCAGTTATCACACCAACCACCACCAACTCTAACTTTCATATATTCTCTGGACAGCATCAGTTGAGCTGGCAGGTAATGAATTTTCGTGTTTCCTTTTAATACAGATCCCCATAGCTAGGATAATGAATGTTATCCTTTCACTCATACTCTAAAAGGTCAAGTTCAATAACTGTCGGAGCTGAGTCACCTTCTACCACTCTGGTTTGCACCAGAGTAAATCCAAGTGATGCTGATACGACTTTCTGCTAAAAGCAGTGTCAATATCTATTAAAGATTAAATAGATCTTAGTGTTGATTTGCAAAGAATAATCTGTTGCTGCAAGCACAGTAATGAGAGCAGATGGAAATGAACTCGAGAAGGGATATTGCATTCATAAGGGAGAAAGCAGGACCAGAAGGTTCAGCTTGGGTTTCTGTAATAAAAAGGATCTTTAAAAGCAATTCCCATTTTCCTAATTTTGTCCATTTTGAAATCAAAAGATGTTTAATCACCTTCTTCACTGAACTTGTTGTTCCAGTCCTTTGGAAAATGCCAAGACAAACAGAAATAGCTTGCCGTGCTCCTGACGCTTCTTCATTATTTCTCAGATGTTCCTGATCCACCAGAAGACCTTCAGCTCTCAGAAAATCAAAACCGAAGTGTTCGACTATCCTGGCAAGCCGGGGCCAGTCATAACAGCCCTGTTAATGGTATGAAGGATTTTAGCATCATCTTGCACTGTTTAGCAATATGGCACGTCATGGCTGTTAGAAGAAACAAAGCATGCTCACAGCCATACTTTATTGGTTTTACTATGACAGTTAATTTGTTGTGAGTTCGTTTCCATCCTTGCTATTTACAACCCGTTTATACAGGCTCTGCCTTTTTTCTTTGTTTTGTTTCTTTTCCTCCCCAGAGTCGATCATAGAGTTTGAAGAGAACCGGTGGGAGCCGGGGAGGTGGCAGGAGCTAACCCGAGCCCCGGGGAATGACACCACAGCCCTTTTGTCACTGTCCCCGTATATGAATTATCAGTTTCGCGTCGTGTCTGTGAACGCTGTGGGAAGGAGCCAGCCTAGTAAACCATCGCTGCGCTATGCAACACCTCCGGCTGGTAAACACTGCCATCTAGTTTTCTGAATATTAATATTTTTAGTGTTTTGCTGGGAGTAACAGTGCCCTCGTGTGCTTCAGAGAGGAGTAAAGAAGGCAGGCACGCTTGGGCTGCTTTCGCTGCTCAGCGGAGTCTACGCTGCCGTGGTTAGCAGGGTGTTTCCTACCAGGGAACCGATAGCATACAGCTTTCCTGAGCTCTGCTGATTTTGCACCATTGCAGCCCTTTATGGACAAGCAGTTGCTGGAGAGGATCTTTGAGGTTTATGGGGAGCCTTCCAGCAGCACTAAGCTTGTCAAATATGTCCGTTCACAGTGCCTTTCTCGCTATGACAGAAAACGTTGTGGCCCTGAAAGTCATTTTAGAGACCAACTGTTCAGCACGGCATTTGCATTCCCTGGCATTTTTCTCTCATTCTTTTTTTTCCCCCTTTTACTTCAATTTCAGGTCCTTCTTCAGCTTTTCAGCTGTGTGCGTCCCACTAATGATATACCTTCTGTTTACTATCCCCATAGGGAGAAAAATCTCTTCCTCATAATCCCCCTACATCTGGTGCTTTGAAATCCAAAAGTCACAGTTTCGTGTTAGCTGGTGGCTCCAACTAACAAGGGCACTTAGGAATCAAAACTGCATAAACAATGTGTTTTGGTCACAGCAGCTTTGCTGATCCAAGTAATTAATCTCATGAACGTTTTTTGTTTAGGTGTCTTTCATTCTCAGTAATACGGAAATAAGAAAAGTTTTTTGAATCCTTTTTTTGTATTTAAATAATAAATGCAGGATACAACCCAGGATATGCAAACTAACCTTGTCACTTGTGTGGTTCCAGCTCCAGACAAGAACCCAGAAAACATCCGAGTTGAAGCTTCTGAACCAAATGAAATGGTGATGAAATGGGAGGTAAGGCAAATGTGTCTGTCAATGCTACAATATTGAAAACAGGTTCTTCCTTCAAGCAGCAAGTTCTAAAGCGGCATGGAATTTATCAGGATGTTGTTTTAATACAAATACATTTAAAAAAATAATGGATCCCTTGACTTTATCTCCCATTCCCCTACTTCTGTTTTTTAGGAAATATTCGCAAATTCCGTAGGTAGGACCCTTGAAGCTCCTGAAGTCATTTATTGACTTAAATGTGTTCTGGATTTCCTCCCCTAGTTTCATTCTGATTCAAAAGTTAATTTTTTACATCTAACTTTGCAGGTTATCAAGAAATATGAAAGTCCTATAAAGCACGGTGAGAATCCTCCAGCATGCACTCTTCTTCTGTGCATCTTGCATACAAGAAAGTGCTTAAAATAATTGTGGTCTCGCCCTGCTCTGCAGGAGGGGCCGCCAGGCCCAGGCAGGGGATGGTTCACACATGGCTTCTGCCCTTCCAGCCTGGAGGTTTAAAAATGATGGAGATCACTTGGCCAAGAGAACGTGAGCTTGAATTTTTACATCAAGAACTAAAGGAATGTAGATAAAGCTCCTAAGCACGTGTGTCAAAGGAATTGTGTAGAAGTCTTGAGATGATTTCCAGTCTTCAAATTCCCTGGCTTTTAAGCTTACAGCTTTTGTGCCAACAGTTTAGAGAGAGATATATTCCTTCGTTTAACACAAATTTCAACAACTGTGGAAGGAAGCATATTTTTTTGTGGCTGGAATTAAACACAATTTACATGAGATTTACTTCTCAATCTGCTGCTCGCAGCAAAGAACAATAAATGTTTCCCCAGTGTGAATTCATGATTTAGGCTATAATTACGCCAAAAGGAGGTGGCCCTCTAGATCTGTTGCCTTGGATTTGGATGGGGATTTTTGCTGTAGGACATAGCCCAGAGTCGGGGAAGACAATCCTTCCTCTCGGAAGAAGTGCAGAGCGATAGTAAGCAGCATGGCTGGGAAATGCTGCGATGACCAACGCTTCGTTGAGCAGAGAACGAGCGCTCCCCCTCGCCGGGAAGCCCGTAATCTGCTGCTCAGACAGGGCAAAAGTAGAAGCGACGACTGAGACTGAAGGGAGAGAATGGGATGGACAGGCTTTGTTAAATATTGTTGAATCATTTAAACGTTGTGAACAGGATATTCATTTATTTATGGTGTTTCCTGTGTGCTTTTCAGAGGAAGTGCTAGGCACCGAACACGCTCTTTCTGGCAGACAAAGGCTGCAAAACCATGTTAATCTGCCTACTTTGGATTAAGAGACCAGATGAGCATTAGTGACTAGCTTTTCAGCCAAGGATTTGCAGCATTAAGGGAGATCAAAATAAGAGTCAAGCAGTGCTGCAATTTAACTCTAAATGAGAAGTTATTTTTGAGTAGGAATTTTTTATTTCTTCAGCCTCTTTTGCAATCCCATTCCCCGGGATCTTTGCCATGGAGGCGATTCTCCCAGTGGTGCCCGTTAGAAAGCCGCCCAGTCTACCAGCTCCTTGGCCACAGTCATCCCAAAGATCCTCATACCCTCAGAGCAGATAAATGGGAATTTTTGCAGATCCCCCAGACCTAAGTGCCCCCATGCATGAGGAGTGGCGGTCAGGCGGGTCGATGGGGCATCGCTTTCTGCTGGCACTTGCAAGGCGAAGCCGTTTCATTACAGACGTCTGTGTGCAGCTTGGATACATATCAATTATTATATATTTGATATGTACAATATATAATTTAAATATTATTAGAAGTAGGCTATGTGGTGGGAAATACCCACAGCTGTTTCGGTGGACTGAAAAAACCCCCATCATTTTTGGTAGTGCAGGTGACCAGTCAACTTTATTAATTAAAGAAGTACATTTTCAGAGAAATAAACTCAATTGGAGAATGTCTCATGACAATCCATTGCTATATGTCTTCTAATATTTTATAAATTAATGTTAATTAGATGGGAACCACGCTGTGACGAATTCTTCAGCTGATTGTAAAGAAGAGTAGCACAGCAGTTGCACATTAAATGTCCAGGCATAGTTTCAAGCATTTGGTGCATATTTAGAACAAATCTGAATTTTAATGACCCAACTTGCTGTGCTACATAAAATTCTAAGATAAAACACAGATTTTAGCTGTACTAAAAGACACACACAACCTTGTTCCAAAACATGCATTTTAGTTGTGCTAAAAGGCATGTGGTTTTACAACACACAAGAAAACAAAGAAAACCTGTGACAAAACAAAAACTGATGTATGCAGTGTGCAGAAATATGTCTCCTAGCAATTAGTCTTGTTTTTAATCCAACTGTTTCTCTGCCTTTCACCCACCTTTCTCTTGAAGTCATGACATTTTTTTTCCAGTCATCTTAAAATTAACATGATCAGCGAAAAGTTAAAGCGTTCTTTTTTCCCCCTTTTCTCTCCCAACGTTATAACACGCTCTCCAAAATTATTCCCCCCTCCCTTCAGCTGCTGTTTCATGGTTACTGCCACAAAGGCAGACAGGATCTCTTTTAACTTCTTCCGCAGCCACTGAAACCCGTGGAGAGGAACGGGCCGGGGCTGGAGTACAAAGTCAGCTGGCGGCAGCGGGGAGTCGAGGCGGACTGGAACGAGGAGACGGTGAAGAAGCATTCTCTGACCCTGCGGAACACCCCCACCTTCGTGCCTTACGAGATCAAAGTCCAAGCGGTAAACAATTTAGGATCCGGTCCTGAACCAAATGTTACCATCGGATATTCAGGAGAGGACGGTAAGTGGTGGAAACATCCATGTAAAAGCAGGCTGCGTGGGGGATTCTTGCGATGCAAAACGATCGGCTATGAAGTGATGGATTAGGCAGCCCATGGCCAAAGCTGTTTAAATGCCAGTGCTCAGCATGGTGGGCTACATGAGACACAGATACGACTGATGCTGGGTGCCGTGGATGCCAGCTTGCTGGAGTTTGAGGGTTTTTTTGGAAAGGTCACTTGTGCTTTCATTAATCTCAATTGCTGGCTTAAACTGGATACTTGTTTGAAGGCCACAGTCCATAAGAAGTCTATGAAATGTAGCAGTCATTGTGTTGTACTTGGTGGGAAAAAAATCTTTACCTTGTCTGGGGCCCGGTTCAACAGTTTAACACTGTCAGAAGTTAAGTACTCTGGCAATTAAGTACAAACACTCAGATGCTGGGCGTTGTAAGTGAATTTATAGATGATGCTACGTTCCCATGTGTGCTGGGTCCATTGAGTCCTTGAAGAACAGGTCCTCTTCTCCAGCCTGGGTTTCTGTCCAGTGGCTTTCCATGGCTCCCAGGTGGCACAGCCCCCTTTCAGGCTTCCCTGCATCTCTGGAGAAGTCTTCCTCCGCTGTAAGGCTTTGCTTTGGATCTACTCCTGCTCCAAGCCCCCTCCCTGGGTCTTCTCAGCATCTGCCCACCTCTGATTTTGGACTCTGCCTGGCCCACAGTGCATCACTTAGGCCAGATCAAACAGAGAGGCTTTTTCCCCTTGCCACCCATTTTCACAAAATAGGTGCCCTGGGCTGCTCTGAAATCACAGCAACCGCTTGTGATACCCACCCTTTGCACTTGCTCTTCGAGCTCCAGCTTCAAGGTGGGCTTTAATAATCATGTCATGGCAGGAGAGGTGAACGTGCGAGAGGATTGCCCTGCTAATAGAATTAATGCCGGTGCAATGCGGGAGGCGACAACCCTGCTATGTCCACGGGACAACGTCACTGCTGAGGCCACCCCAACATCTCTGACCAGCAGCCTGTCCCCTTTGGTGTTCACTGCATGGCTGCAGAAGGTATTTGGAGGACTGGAAAGGTATCCAGCTGCAGTGAAGAAATGCCAAGCCTCACTTTGGGAAGCAACCCAGTTAAGCACTAACACCATCAAAAAAAAAAAAAGAATCTTTTTTGTAGGAATTAAGGATTTAAATCAGCAAGGGAGTAAACAGCATGGTGGCCAGCTAGCGTGGGGCGCCAGGCTTCCCCGATCCCAAATACAAATGCTTATTGCATTTGCAAACGCTTAGCAGCAGGGGCTGGGAGCTGTTGGCGAAGAGGGGGCAGGAGGGCCAGCGAATGGTCCGTGTTTCAGATCTGAAGATTAATTTTATTAGTTGAAGTCAGACAGTTTTGATCCCGTGCAGAATCTGAAGTCTTTAAGTTGTTTTCGTAAGAATGAAATAAACTGACAGTCTGAATGGCCTTTGAAAAGTCAACAGTGGATTAGCCAGCTAAGCCAAGCACGTGTTTTGCTGCTTATTAAAATGACCAGACAGCCACGTCCTTGACTTAACCCGCCACGTCCCGCAGCAGTCACTCCCCAGGAGCAGTAGTATAGATGCTGCTGCTCCCACCTCTCCACTTGCTGCCGCTTCTCGCAGAAGCCGATATGGAGTATCATCATCCATGGTAGGCGATATGAAACAGTCAGTAAAGTTACTGTGATAGCCACAGATGTAAAAAATCTCACCGGCTTTAGAGAGGGAAAGAAATCCTAAGGCAGGCTCTCTGGAGCACTCCTCGTGTTGAGTGAGCGCACCGAGACCTGTGTTATCAACCCTGGATGGACCGGTTTGATGTTTACAACCTGCTGAGTGCTTCCTGGTGTTTCACCAGCACGAGGTTTTGGTGCTGGCAATGGTCTTGGTGCTGTTCAGACAGGAGAATGCCTACTGCACACCCAGAGGTGGGCAACGGGAAGGTTTGGTGGTGCATCTTCTCTCCTCTGTCGAGTGTTTGGCAGAAGAGGTGGTGAATAGTGAGAACAGAGAGGAAGAAACCCCGCAGCATGTTTATTTTCTTTGTGTGTCTGTGATGGATTTAATTTTATATCGATCAGTGGAAAATCTTCCTTGCAATTCAGTTGTCAATGGATCAATGCCTCTTTTTTTCAGGTGCGATAATAGCTCTCTGTGTTGTATAGTGATTAAAATCCTGCTGTTTAATGAGCTTAGTTGTAAAATGAAATTGATTATAAAAAAAACCTTTATGATTGCCTTCTTGAGTGCTGTGTTAATCATTTTTTTTATTCTTCTCACTGCTGTAAGCATTACTTGAAACAGGAAATCATAAATACTGGTGTAGAAATTCATATGTCCCAGTGCACCTGTATTCCAGCCCGCAGCAGAAAGCCCTGATATGGCAAAATAATGTTTATTGGCCCATTGCACCCACTGGATGCAGGTGGAATGGCTTTTTTCTTGCCTGCAGTAAGACTATATGAACTGCCACAGCTTGAGCTGGAAAGCCAAGCCTTGTAGCTGTGAACAGTGTGAAACGGGGCTCTTGTAAGTGTCTTTAATATGCAGCACTTTTGGTTTTGCAGTTCCAGATGCCTCTCCTTCCGGCGTATCGGTGGATATTGTGAACAGCACGCTGGTCAAAGTCTTCTGGTTTGGAATACCAAGGGACAGAGTTCGTGGACATTTAAGAGGCTATAAGGTTACGAATTTCTCTTTAAATAATTGCATATGGTTGAATAAACTATTAAATGAATCCCAGATCAAGGATAGGTTTCAGCCTCTCATTTCTGGGAAGATGAGAGAAATCAGTGTTGTGTTCAGCCCCATAAAACATAATTTGTTATAGAAATGCCAATCTCAATGCAGGTCAGTTGGTGGAAAACAAAAAGCATGCTGGATGGAAAAAGGCATCACCCAGAGAAACACTTCCTAACGTTTGTAGGAGACAGAAACTATGGGATGATTCCTGGTCTAGAGCCCTTCAGTGAATTCCGCTTAACTGTTTTGGCTTACAACGCCAAAGGAGATGGCCCGGAAAGCTCCCCCGTTGTGTTTGAAACTCCGGAAGGAGGTAAGACAAAATGAGAATATGGGATGGAGGGACGTAAACAGAAATTGTCCACGTAACAAGGCAAGCTGGTTTCTGTATTTAAAGTGATTGTAAAATCTCTGATATTCATAAAATCCTTCACTAGAAAGGGGAACTGTAGGTTTTGAGCTGAACTAGATCCTCATTTAACAAGTATGTGTAGAGACAGACCTGTCCAATATTCTTCTCTGAAAGCTAATCCCTGTATCTTCCAGTTCCCGAACAACCACGTTTTCTGAGGATCCTGAACTTTGACAAGGACTCCATCACTCTGTCGTGGGGACTCCCCAAGAAAGCAAACGGCCACCTTACTGGCTACATTTTGCAATACCAGATAAGTACGTGCTTGTTTTGCTTTGATTTTAGAATTTAAGCATTATCAGTTAAAAAAAAAAAAGAAAAAAAAAAAAAAAAAAAAGGTTTACATGTGCACAGGTATTTAAAAGAGGCTGATGAGAAGGGCTGTTTCTGAGATCCCTATAACAGCCATAACATCAGAACAGCGTGTTTTGAACTGCGATGTGCGCGCAGCCTGCTAGAGGGCAGGCCAAAGCCATCTTCCAGAGCAAAAAGTTTTCCATGCACTTTTCTGATGTACGCTCACGTTGCTGCCACGCCCTCTTCCACATTTATACACTAATTAATTATTTCATATCTGTAAATTATACCTAACGTAGTAGTTAAGAAGACCCATAAATTGTAGGTGCATTTTACTGAAGTGAAACTTATTGAACACAAAATAATTTGTAACGAGGGCACTTTAGCCACATTTATTCAGATGTTCACATTCTGTCAGTGAGCACCTCCTCCCTGTGCGGTGCCTCAGCAGAAACACAGGCAACTACCACCTGAGTCATGTTGTTGAGTAATCACATTGAGAAACAATGAAATACCAGGGGTGTTTCTTTCTTGCCTACGAAAAAACTGGGAAGAGACTTTGAGCAGATAACCTCAGGCAAGATTCAGTATTGGTCCCTGACTGCCACACCACCAGCTGTGAGGTGTGGCGACAATTCAGGGTGTTTTATATGTTCTTTGGGGATGGAACAGGATTAGACTGTGTCTTATTTACAAAAAGAAACCCGGGTACTTTTCACTTATCTCTGCTGATAACAGAACTGCCCAGTTGCCTTTGCAAGCTGAGGCTGGAGGCTGGATCTTCCCTTTGGTTTTGATGACTATGGGCAGAGAGTGAATCCGTCTATTTAGGCAGTTTGGGAGTAGCAACCCCTGCTTCAGCTGCCAACTGTGCCAGGGCGGAGCGGAGCAAAGCAGAAGAACCATCCGTTAACTTGCTTGCAAAAGTTTGCAGATGTTTGGAAGCAAAGCAAGAAACAATTCATATATATTTAATGATCTAGGAGACAGTAATTTTTACTTTCCACTCAGTATGTGCATATCTAGGATCAGAGAGCTTTTTAAGAACAGTAATAGCTCACCGAGTAGTTGGGAGATTGACATGGGTGAGATAAATCCCATTTAAGTACTTGGCAGGAAGGTGAGATATGCTTATTCAGCCTTCATCCTTCCTACTTACTGCAGAGTGCCTCCTTGCAGGGGTGTTCATGACAAATTTCATGTTCGTAGCCTTTAGCTGCTGGGTCTGACTCAACTGCCTTTTCCCTTTCAGTAAACGAAACCCATGAAATCGGACCTCTGAACGACGTCAGTGTAACCAACCGCTCCACGCTCAGCTGGAGGCTTTCAGGTCTCAGCTCCAGTACCAAGTACAAATTCTATGTAAAGGCTTGTACAGTCAAAGGCTGTGGGAAGCCGGTCACAGAAGAAGGACTAACGATGGCTCAAGGGAGTAAGTTAATAGGCAATATGTTTTTATGTGGAGAAGCTCTAACAATAACGGAAAAATCTATTGAGAATATTCCAGGCTTGACATTTCCTTTGTAATTAGAGGAAATAAATTTGTTTTTCTTTCCATGAGAACAATCAATGAACTTTTTAATGTAGCCGTGCAGCTCTTCAGAAAAGTAGAGCTTACCTGTTTCATTTTGCTGTACAGCACTGTGTTTCTATTCCCACCGATCAACTCTTTAAGCTGTACTAGAATAAGTAAATTGCATTTAGTCACGAACAGAAAATTGAAGATCTAGATAATCTGTTCTCAGTAATACAATAAAAACACATTCTGCCCTTGCATGAAGATGGGGGACTGCTAGCAATGTTAAGTGCAGGTATTTGACATGGAAAATCCAGATGAACATAAAGTTGACTGCAGTGCTTTTGATCCATTATTTTATTATTATTTTATCAGGGACTGGAAGTGACCATTTGTGTGCCACTTACACCCTATCCTAAAAGACTGATGTTCAGTGATTTAAAGGAAAATCGCAAGCACCATATGATAGCTCATCTTTCACATTCAGTTGAAATGAAATAAAATGTACTGTGCTCAGCAAGTCTGAAAACTCTACAATACCGAGGAACAAGTCCTTGCTATTAATCAGAAACCGTTGCTGTGCACTTACCACGGGGAAGGAGAAAGAGAATGTCATAAGCAAAATAGTCCTGGCTTCATCATTTTTAGCAATGATAACAGTCTGGCACAATGTTGATATAAAATAGAAAAATCGTCCTTGTTGCACAACATCCTATTGGACTTCTAAGTTGCAGAATCTCTTCAGTTACTGGTAAAACAAGTAAGAAGTACTTTAAACTCATCACGTCCCAGCTCAGGATCCAGTCATGAGCTATCATCCGTTTTCTCAAGTAGTGAAACTCCCTCTCCACTGTCTGGTAGCCTCCAGTCTCACTGTAGTATTCAGGTACTCATGTAGCAGTAACTATTAATCTATCAGCATGGTTTAAAATTTATTCTTCATTAAAGAAAGTAAAAGTTCCTTTTTTTTTTGAAGCTAAAAATATACAATTTCACCTCGTTAGTTACCCTTTCTGGCCTTCCTTGGGCAGCCAGAATAATGTGTTTTGGCCACTTGAAAGTCTATAACTTCTTTGAATAACCTTGTCAGGTTTTATGAAATGCATCCCTGCCTGATATGCTTAAAAGGATGATAATGTTGCCATTCATTTTGTTCTCGTCCTCTTCTTTCCTAAGACTTTGTTTCAGCAGTGGCAACAACTGATCCTTGTGAAATGCTTGTAGAATAGAGTAGTATAATTAATAAAAGCTGCAAGGGTCCAGTTCTGCGATTAATGTGTGCTCCTTGCTGATTCTCAAGCCACCCTAAATTAGGACACTGCATCTGTCACTGAGACGCCATTAGAATTTTGTGTCATTATTTGCTGGCTAAATTGTTTGGATATTTTTCAACTAAACATGATAGGCTGAAAAAAAATCCCTCTTTTCAGTGACCTTCCTGGGGTTTTAAGCTGTGGTATGGGAAGCAAGGCAATTGCTCAAAATTAAAACAATCTCTCTTTTTGAAGAAAGGGAATGATTTCAAAAGTCAAGTTTATCATTTAAAATGACCCACATAAATGACAGATATAAAATGTGGTGCCCTCTGAAATGAAACTCTGTGATAGAGCACTCCAAGTTTCTTTGGGTTTTGATTCAGTGATTCTATATCCACTATGTTCCGGTTTTAGTAATAAAAACATAAAGCTCTCATTGTTCATTTTAAGACTTTGAATAGCTTCCACTGCTGTAATATAGCCTTTGCAGGCTGCGCCGTGGGTATTTCAGAATTTCACGATACGTTCTGCCAGGAAGTGGAGATGTTGAGGTGGAAGCTATGGATTCATTCACGTTTTATCATTGATATACTTGATCTACATCACTGCTAGTGCTTTCATTTATTTGCAGTTATCCCTGCTACTACAGTCTGAAATCAGAAAGAAAAGTCAATCTCTTTTTTTAATATGTACATATGCAAGTATGCGTTTATCACCACTAAAAACAAGTCTGTGCAGGGAGAATTGTTGTGCTCTAAATGATAATTTTCCCAGCCTGTAATTTATGTGCAGCCCATTTCCTGACAATGAGTTTGCAGTGGCATGAATGACTGAATTTAGTAAAAAAAAGTTTCTCTCAGTTAAATAAATAGAATTCCCTGTGTAGATAAATGGGTAGGTCATACCCTTTCTCTACAACTGCAGCATCTTCCTCTGTGAATGAACCATTCAGATTCAGATTTTTGTCAGGAGTAACACATTGCTTTGAGTTAGCAACGCTTTCCCAAAAGGTCAATGAGTAGATACTGATAGGAAAAGACCATCTCACGCTCACATCTCTCTCTCTTCGTTCTCCGGCGGAGCAGTGCCGCGCTCTGTGCTTGTCTGGCAGTGGTGGAGATGGAGCCCTCTGCTCTGCAGTACTGCCTCTGTCAGAAGGGGCTGTTTCTGTATAATTACTTAACAGAGGAAAACCACATTTTGATATTTGTCTCTAAGATTAAATGCAGGCCCATTGGAATTAATGAGAAATCGCAGCAGGCGATAAAAAAGCTTTCATTTATAGCATCCTTGTTGCATGACCCAACACCACTGGCGTTGGCAGCTAATACAAAGTCAATGAAATAAAAGCCTCTTTCTTATGAAAGATCTTAAACGTAGCCAAAATAACTCAGATATGAAACGCTGATAGACAACCAAAGATTTTTATCAGTTGTTGATAAAATACTGTGGACAATCATGAAGAACCTGGGCAAAAGGATATTTGCATTGTACTGCAAAATAAATAATAGCTTATTTTTTGTGGCTTCATTGTGGTTTCATTCCATAGAGGAAGGTATGCTGTCTTTAGAAAATGAGTTTTATCTCTAACTTTTCATTTTCAGGCAGTATTTCTTAAATGACCTACAAACTAATTAATTTTCCCCTTGAAAATGTCAATTTCCAATGATCATTAGCCCCCAGCAAGATAATACAAAATAATGTTCTTACATAAGTGAAAAAAATTAATTTAATATAGTAGTCTTTCTTTAACACAAAGCTTCTTTTCATCTAGTTACCAGTGTTTCTCGAGGATTACTGAACATGTATTACATGTTGAGAATGATTACTGTGTGTCCAGAAATTCAAGCCTTAATGAAAAATTCATCCAGAGGAAGCCGTACAACTGTAGTTTTATTTTCCAGGGAAGCCAGAGAATAAAAGTTCACCAGTTTCATTACATTTCAATGGCAATCGGCACGTAACTCCCACAGGCTTTTTGAAAATCTTAGCCGGAGGGTACTAACCTTCATGACACACCATAAAATGAGGAGAGTAACCATTTGTAACAAAACATATGGTTTTAGTTCTCTTTTGCCACAGGCACAGTGAAAAAGGAAAAATACAACTGCCTTAGCCATCTGTAACCACTGGTATTGTTACCAGCAATCCTTCAAAATATACCCTATTTGCTCACAATCAAGAGAATCTGATGAAATCTCGGTGAAAAGTTCCTTTTTCTGTCATTTATGCCACTCCGCTCTATGCCTCTTCTTCGGCCGGGGGACCTGTAGCCCATCAATCCCTAATGACAGGCAAGGAACCGTCCTGCCAGCCCGGGTGCTGCACCCAGGCTGGATGGGAAAAGGAATAAGTGATGTATCGCTGTTTCAAACCCCTATCATTTTGAGCAAGAAAAATAGGCATGTTAAATATAATATGCTAAATACATCAGTCTTGGAGTACTTCAAACAAATTTGTGATTAACTGTTTGTCTTTGCTATTTGTTTTGCTTTTTCCTCATCTATCAGCCTGCCCCAGTGTAGCCAACACAGAGAGCGAAAGAGCAGCAGCAAGAGACGAACGAGCTATAACCTGTCTTCTTGTCCGAGCTCAGATTTCTCCCACAAATGACAATCCGTACAAATAGCTGATCACTAATTCACCTATAAATTCTTCTCAAAAGACTTTGCACACAGCAGGTTTACTAATCTCTATAGCTTAAAATATTCCCAATTTAGCATGAATTGCCTCCTGCACTAAAAAAGCCCAGAAGGTGAAGGATACTTGTGATACATATTTATACACTTTTAATAGCCAGGCAGTAGGGGAAAACTAATGAAAGTTCAACTTTCCATTTATTGCAGCAGATGTATTTAGACAGGTATGGCTATAAATTAAGATGTTGCCCACAATTAGTATTTAGCTGTTAGGCTGCCAGCTTTTTTATATAAGTATGTTTTATAACAGATTTGCTAACTTTTGGAGAACTAGCACTCTTGTAACTCTTTGGGGGCGGTTTATATTGTTTTTCCTTTTATACCATAAGCTTCTATAAAAAATGTGTGTTCCGTTGTTCTCATAAATCTCGAAGCCCGGTAGGAATATTGTAAAATTGCAGTTCAGTGTTTAATGTTCATGCGAGTCCCATGGTATGGCTGATAAATAGTGGGGGAAGATGAGAAGTGCTGGTGATATGCCTTTATTACTAATGTCTCTTCTCCCTTATTGTAGATTAAAAACCTAACCCAACTGCTTTCAATTTTCTGAAGCTAATTTCTGCAGCTCACTGACCTTTCAGTATGTTGAGCTTTTCCTTATCTGTATATCTTTGCTTTTATTTTTCAGGATGCTACACTGCTTTTTCTATTCCAACCACCAAACTTGCCCCAATTAGCAATGCTTTCTCCTCTGTAGGTGCTATATTGAGTGTGTAACACAGAAAGAAATCGCGTGGAAAGAAACCTCATAATCACCCGTCACTGGACACCTGTACCAAGTTTTAAAGAAAAAAATTTTGTGTAGTGTTTTGGGATAGGTGATGTTAAACAGCCTGGAAAGCCGATGGTAAATCCCCAGTCCCAGGTCAGGTCGGGCTCAAACCCTCATTCCCGGACGCGCATCCCAGCCCCGCGCTGCTCGGTGTGCCAGGGCACGGCACGGCCGGCTGGGGGCTGGTCCGGCTGAGCAACGACCTGGCAGAAAAAGGGGTTACTTTTCAGCCATATCAGTTCCCCCTTCCTGCTTCTGTGAGGAGCTGACCGTTCAAAAAGAAGAGGCTGGCACAAGCTGGAAATAAATAGGTGATAGATAAGGACTGGTTAAGGTGGTTTAAGAAAATGCACAATGAACCGCAGCTGTGGGCTGCCGCTGAGCTCAGGGTTAAGCGTTTTGCTTGCTAGGAGTTCAGTAGAAATGCCTCCTAAGGAGACCTGTGTTGTCTGCAAGTTGGACCATGTGGTTATCGTGTCATGCATAAGTGTTACATGTGTTTAATGCATCTGGATCTAAGGTTCACGTTCATTCTTGTTACTTTATGGATAGGGTTTCCATTAAATACTTTCTGATGTCTTGATTTTAGAACATGTAATTAATATATACCTGTGGTATCCTGTTGCTTAATTTGCAGTTTGATTAAAAATTATAGTTCAGTTTCACATACTTCATTTAGCAAAAATTGCCGGTAGATGGATTAATTTATGCTAATAAGCTGTGCTTCAGTATCAGCAGTGCTTCAGCTGTATGTGTTCTCTCTGGGTCCCAATGGGCTACTAATTTAACTGCTTATTGTAATACATGTATAGTTGCCTTGGAAAACTTATCTTGAACTGCTCCTTTGATTGTGCTTGGATTCGTCTTAATCTTTTTTTTTCCCCTTCAGCTGTCAACGAAGCCTTAATCACTGAAAGCTTCTTGCTTTGCTTGTTTACTGGTTCTCGCTTTGCTTGTTTATGAGTTTAAGTATTAATGAGCATTGTTTTACTGTCAGTGCTACTGGTCAGGTAGTTTTCAAATTATACTGTGTGCTCAATCCTTAGTTTAGACAACTTTGGATAAAGCAGGAAAATTAGGCAACACAATTAAAGAGTTATATTTATAAAGTGCAGCCCCCCAAAATGTCTCTCCTGCCATCGAGGGCAGGCACAATCCCGGGTTGTACCCGTTGGTTGACTAAAGAGATCCCCCGTGTCAGCCCGAAGTTCTGCATTTGCTTGTATGAACAGGCTTTTCATGTTCAGGCAGTGATTACTAACCTCTGTAGATGTCCTTTTTTCCGTTATCCACAAACGCTATTGTAAAAAAGCTTGTTTAATACCCTGCAATCTTAATGCAGACAGAAATTACAGTAGGCGTTTTGTGAGTAAAAAGGCTCTGAAACTAGGGCTACCGGAATTTCCCTTCTACCTCTTAATCAAATATTAACCTCATCAGGAACATTAAATGCCTAAATATCAATTTAAAAGCAAACTTCAGCTGTATCTAAAACAGTGCTTTGGGCAGGCATTGTGGGATTTAAAAGGACATGGAAAATCACCGTCAGGAGAGGAACGAGTACAAATCCCAATGTTAATTTTTTCCGTGAGACATATAAGAATCCATTTCCAGCTAACAAGCTGTCTGTGCTTCCCTGCTGAGTTCAGTTCAATGGGAGAGGCATCAAACCCCAGATTATCTATACAAAGCAAGCCCATTTTCAAGTTGTAATTTTTTAAGCACGCATTAGTTAAAGCAGATCCATAATCCCCCATCAATATTAACTTTCATCCTGGGAAATGTACAAACCCCTTCATAAACATCAGGATTACTTCAGTCTGCTGTTTATTTTATCTGATGGAATATTAAAAATCAAATAGGGGGAATGTTTTTTAGTTTACCGCCTGCTTTTGAAAATCAGATTATCTCATGACAAATGTTAAAAATCCTTGTGTGTCATATTTGTGTGTTATTTACATTCTTTGTAACTGCATTTCACAGGCCTTTTGTTCAATGAATGCAATTAATCGATATGACTTGAATATGTACATTCCATAGGTAAAGGGATCGGCAAGATTTCAGAAGCAGTAAACCCCACCCAAAAGTTTCACCCCATTGAGGCGCTTGAGCCTGGAACTGAATATACAGTTCGTCTAGTGACTAAGAATTGGGTTGATAACAATAGCATTTTTGAAGATGTAATTGAGACAAGGGGGAGAGGTGAGACATGAAACCCTTCAAGGTGGTAAAGATTTATTCTCAATGTAAATAAATGTTGAGGTTACATCTTACGTTGTGCAGTGTACCAAAATCATAATTTTGTTCTGTGATTTTTAAGTTGACCCTTGCAGTTGAATCCCATGGGAGCATAAACGCATCCGTGGTTCTTGGCCGGGTCTTACGCTTTACTTGGCGCACAATAGCCTGGAACAATTACAAACCTTTACAAAACAGTTTTCCCTCCTATGCGATTTTGAAAGGGTAGTGCCGTGATATAATTCGTTTTAAGTGTGCCAGTCCAGTGGTTTGCATGTATCGGGTGCACTTTTAACTCTATTTCTTTCGCAAAACTGCTTTTGCATGAGAGGCTTAACAATTCTCTGTTCAGCTTTCCTACTTGGCATTAATCCTTTGAGTCAACTACTCGCTCAGAATTACCTTTCCAAAATGTCTGTATTGTGCCTTGTAGACTGCAGATTCCCCTTAAGTCTGAAAATGTCACGCTCTGGACGTATTTCTGTCTTGCGTTTCTTTAAGTTGAACACAATAAGTAGCGATAGTCTGATTCAATTAAGATTCACTGAAGAAAATGTTATGTATTCATGTTATAGTAGGGTGATGCCCTTTTCCTCTGGTTAATTTTCTTTTTTTTCACTCCTCTTCTGTTTCACAAAGCCTATGCTGGCATTTACGATGGAATTTCCACCCAGGGGTGGTTTATTGGACTGATGTGTGCCATCGCTTTGCTCACCCTACTGCTGCTAACTGTTTGCTTTGTCAGAAGAAATAAAGGAGGAAAATATTCAGGTAAATGGATTTATTGTCCTTTGGCTATGTTCACATGTTAATAACCAGCATCCTTCAGACTTTTATCTCTGGAGGCTGCAAAGCCACAAGCAGAAACATCCAATTAGGATTTGTAGCTTTTGATAAATATCCGCAGAATGGATTCTAATGAATATAAGTGAAACTGTGCTCTCTGGGTGAGACAGTGCTGTGTGCTGGTCAGAGATCTTGCTAAGGCCTTTCACAGCGCTTGTTGAATCTTCCGGTATGTATCCAGCCGTAGAGTCAAGGTCCTTCCCCAGCTGCACCTCGGTTGGCAGGGCTACCTGCTCACTTTCCACCTGATAACTGCTACTTGACGTACTCACTGACATAACTTCCATGGGTAGCCAAACTGCTTAACAATAGAGTATTTTGCTAAAAGTAATTCTGTAATTTTCAAAGCAATGAGTAAGGATTTAATTTTAAATATTTAAGTATAAATCTGGTTGTCGGAAGAGGTGGTAGATGCCCCATCCCTGGCAACATTCAAGGTCAGGTTGGATGGGGCTCTGAGCAACCTGATCCAGTTGAAGATGTCCCTGCCCATGGCAGGGGGGTTGGACTAGGTGGCCTTTAAAGGTCCCTTCCAACCCAAACTATTCTATGATTCTATAAACACTTAGCTTTCTGAAAAATCAGGGAATGGCACCAGACCCTTGATGGAAGCATGCTGGTTGTGTCCAGCCAGACACGCAGCACAAGCTGCTGCCCTCCAGGTTAGGCTGTAGGAGATGACAGGCGGTTTTCCCATTGCACCTGCAAAAAGCAAAGTCCACGGCAGAACATGGCATACAGATCTGTGCTTTATTTTATTTGTACAGTGAAAGAAAAAGAAGATTTGCATCCAGATCCTGAAGCTCAATCAATAAAAGATGAAATCTTTGGGGAATATAGGTAAATAGGACCTGCTTTAACAAGCGTCTGTGTTTGTTGGGGTTTTGTTTGTTTCCAGATGTCATCATTATTTAGGACATTTTTGTAGCATGCAATTAACGCTATTTTTCATTTTCAAAGCAAACCTCACAGGAGTGGATAATAGTAGGAATGTAAAGGTATATCCAGTATACTTAAATCCATCCAAGTTGGGATATAAGTAAATGTTGATGTATCAGTGATTATTTTTCACTTTTTTTTTTAATTAGCAATGTATGGATAATGTAAATATATATGATAATTTGGGTTCCTACTGCAATGTCCATTGAAGTCAATAGGAAGACTTCTATGTCTTCAGTGGGTTTCTGAAACCCAATCAGGCCCAAATTGTGTAATATGGGGAATGCTCATTTTGTGGAAGAAAACAGAAGTTTGAAATGCAGTAAGAGATGGCAAAAGACCCAACAGCCCTCACTACAGAAGTTTCTGTAGGAGAACTGAAATAATCGCTTTAGCTGCCTTAAAATAACTAAAGCTTACAATAACCATGGTATAAAGAAAAAGACATCATTTCTGTTGAAATCCCAGTTATATATACTACATTATTTGTACTGGACTAGGTTTTTTTTTTCTGCATAATTTCATCTTTATTTAATTTTTAATGCTTTCTAATGGGACAAATATTTAGAAAGGTAAGAAAGTCCTGAGGTTAATAACTTTGACCCCCTCCTTCCCCCTCAAACTCCAAACTTGTCTTTTCTATAAATAGAAATACCATGTGCAGGAAAGTAGCAAATATTTTTACTGTATTGATTATACACGTTATTGATTATATGCTGAAGAGGTAAAGTTGAGGTGCGTTTCTCTGTCCTTCCATTACCAAAGCTTTGACACTGAGCTGGCATCAGCAAGGGCCGTAATTGAGTAATTATGTACCTAGTTCAGAGGCCTAATTTGGTTTTTTTGTAATCTTTTAATCTATGTTCCCAATCCCCCCAAACTTTCTGTTCAGTCAGGAGAAGTCAGGCTGCTTTGGTGGTTCTTCTGCGGTACCATTAGGAGGAATGGCCAGCGGAATTTCCGTTTTTTCCTGAATTTTGGTGATGGGTCTGTCCTTCTTCATGAAATTGCCATTGAACATAGGCTGCATGTGAGCAGATGCAGACACTGATTCTGCTTCTGTTTTCCCCTGTTCCTCCCCATCAGTTACAGTACGATAAGATAACAGCAGAACAAATGAAAAAAGGGAAAAAAGCCCCTTTGTCAGGATCTAAAATCAAACAAATGCTCACAAAGCAGTGAGATACAACCTACAGCTGATGCCTCATCCCACAATTGTACATCAGTTCACCCACCCCCTCAAAAGAAAAAGGAAATAAATAGGCCCCGAATATTGCCTTGTAAAATGAAAATGTCTCTTTCCGTAAGGTGCCAAAGACTTGACACCAGCACTGATCGCTGGAACGGATCCCTCAAATCCTTTCCAGCATTTCCTTTTCTTTCCCCTTCACTTTCTATCTATGTCTGTCCAAGGCAAAAAGGGAAAAAAACAAAACACACGAGTAGTTTTCACTGATGTTTGCCTTTTTAACCAATTCCATTGTTGTAATAATCCCAAAATCATACATGTGTGGAATTCAGGTGGGTGTAGATGACCTGTCTGAGGTGCACCGGACCAAGCAGGACTCCTGGGGTCAGGTCATTCTCCATGTCCAACCCACATAGAAATGTTTCCCTCGCTCTTCCCTCCTGCTGCTTTCTTTCACAATAAAAAAGCAGTTTCCATGCTTGCAATTAAAAGCTAGATTTTTGGAAAGGCATTTCTTTGTTTTGTAGTGACAGCGATGAAAAGCCGCTGAAAGGCAGCCTCCAGTCAATTAACGGGGACATTAAAGCCACCGAAAGTGCTGATAGTCTGGTAGATTATGGAGAAGGGGAGCATGGGATGTTCAATGAAGATGGTTCATTTATTGGAGCTTATTCTGGATCTAAGGAAAAAGGATCAGTGGAAAGCACTGGGAGTTCTACGGCAACTTTTCCTCTCCACGCCTAAAATATTAGCAAGAATGATTCGTGTTTAATTGTGACATTTGTCTTGATTAGTACTCCGCAGTTACCACATGTGATTGGAAGCAGGTTGCCAGTTGAGCCAGTCAGAAACCTGACATCCAGGTAATATAAAAAAAAGTCACTGCCACTAAAAGATGATTTTCCATCCTAATTTCTAGGTGTTTTCTTCTAATTAAAACAAAACAAATAATTCTTTACTATACAAAATGTCTTACCCAGTCTTACCCAAACCGAATTTCTCAGTGTTACAGCTGTATAGTTAACTGCTACTCCGTGTGTTTCTTAGGTTTGGAATATGTTTCTCTGTATAGTATTTTTTTTCCTTGTATGGCTGTTGTCACTTTGTACATAAATCCATATGTAGTATTCCCTCATGTATGGTGACCTCGGCATTGTAGAGGTTATAACACAACAAGAAAATCAAACAGAAACAACAGGTTACTCTGCAAAGTGACACGATGCATCCTGCCGAGAAAAATGATAATTTAAAATACTGGAGAAATATATTCTATATATTGTATAATTTTTCATAAAGAAATAAACTCCTTTGCTTATGATACTCTAAAATTATTTTAGTGGTTACAGCTGACTGTAATTACTTAGAGATGCAACTTTATCCACAGAAAAATTGCTCTTAAAAGACAAAGCTCTGGCCTTGTGGATGAATCTGCTGTCCAGTAGCTGGCACTATTTCCTTAAATAAGTTAAGCTGCAATATCTTTCCTGCGGCAAGGCAAAACAGGGTTCCCATCCACCATCATTAGAAAGTATTTTAATTTGTTTTCCTGTGTCTCTGCAAGCTGCATTTCTAAGCAAAACGCTTGTTGCCTGTCTCATATCTGTATATTTGTGCGCTAGCATACATTTCATGGAGACATTGTACATATGATATTAATATTGACACAAGTAAAAATCAGCCTTGTTTTATTTTGAAATGAGACATGTTGCTAGCATGAGTTTGTATAGCTGTGTAGGAATGAATAGAATTGCTTCTCAATATGAGTTTGGACCAGCAGAACTAGTTTTCAGAGGGAGTTGTGTGGATACCTGTCATATAAATCTCACGTCTTTCTAGTATCACATAAAGTAGACCTACCTGACTTTCAAGAAGTCATTTATTTTCAAGCTATTCGTTGTTAAATAAACAAAAACGAAAGCAAAGAGAAAATATTATGGTATAGTTTCTTTTACGTTTTGTTTACGGAATGCTGGTTTAAATCTGGTTCTTTTCTTTGCCTCTCCAACACTAACTCAGCAAAGCTGTACAGCACATTTTTTTGGTCTTTTTGTATTGGAATCTCCTGAATTTCTTTAAAAATGTTTGTATTTTTGAACATGCTTATTTGAGTAGAGTATCAATATGGCTTCGTTTCTTCTTGCACTTACAAATGACTGTCACTTCAATTATAATATTTTTTAAATGGTTACTGCAGGAGGAATAGGTCCTAAAAGCCATTTTGCATCATGGGAGTAATTAGGCAAATATCCCCAACAGCTCCTTCACGGTCTCCATTACTTCAATGGAAGAAAGAAAGGAAGCAAGAATTACTCGCCTGGTTACGATTTCCAGTAACACCTACAATTAAGACCCGTTAGTTGCCCACAGAAGTGCAGGTAGTTTCCAGTAGAAAGCCGGTGGTTCGTAGCAGCTCCCCTTACGCGTGGGCTCCTCGCCGGGGCGGCTGAATTCCCAGCTGTGCTCAGCGATTTCTGAAAGCAGTAAGAGACCTTTGGGGCTCAACGCTTCTGCATATCTGTTTCTCTTTTGGGTTTTTTAATTATTTTTGCTTATAAGGACCTTTCATCTAACCTCTCTTTGGGAAAAGCAAACCCCAAACAGCCAGCCCGAAACCCCCAGTGCTGCCGTGTGTATGAGTGGGAAAGGATGAATGGAAATCTGCCCTGAGTCAAAAATCACCCCACTCCGTGTCAGCGACCCCGTGGTGTGAAGAACTTGATTTTATTTTTTATAAAGTTTTATTTTCTGTATTTCTCTCAATCCAAATGCCAAAAAAGTCCAAAGTCATTTTCATTTTTTTAAAAAAATATTCATTTTAAAAGAAGGGAGTGCATAATTGGAGAAATGTGAAAATTGCCATCTAGTCAATACTTCCCACCAGGATCTTTATCTGCTGACTCCTGTCTGCTGCAGCCCAAACCAGATAAAGTCTAAGAACTGATTAGGCTTGTGACAACCTTTGTTGCAAGCTTCAGGCTGTTTTTAATGTTTTTCCTTTAGGAATCATCCGCACTAGCGCACGCTGCCGCAACGCCGATTGCAGGCGAGCGTTGTTTTGTTTTCTCAGTCATTTTCATTGAGATGTTTTGTGTTTTACATGGAGATATTTCAGCTGACACTTCATGAGTATTCAAGCTAGTCCCCTAATCTTGTCTCTCCCAGCTGCTGGGAGTCTCTGGTGGCCAAAGCAGGGCTGCTTGCAGCTTTCCCCAGTATTTGGAGAAATCCTGAAACACCGGTTTTCCCGTACCAAAGTTACAGCTCTCTCCAGCATTTCGAGGGGTGATAGGTCTGGGATTGCTGGGGAGATGCTGTCTTAGCACCTTCCCAGCCTCCGTAAGCTGACAAAATCCCTGGTCGTTATTCCTGGAGGGGCAAGGAGGAAGTGTCATTAGTCAAAGACGATCTTTGAAAGAGGAACAAAATTCGGGAACAAACTTAGGGAACAAAATTAGGGAACAAGATCAGGGCGGGCTCCCCCAAAAGCCTGGCTGAGGGCAGAGCCCTCCCAGGCGGGGGGTCCCTGACCGGGGCAGAGCGTGGGGCAGCCGCCCCGGGGGGAGGCCGGGTGCGACCCAGCCGCAGACACAGTCATCCGTTTCCTTGCACTCTGGGTCGCTGCAGATCAACTAGACTCATTGTCCCAGAAAATGCCTCTGTTAAACAGACACAAATTTCAAATCATATTAGCGAGTGTCAAATTATCGAATAATGAATATAAATCCCCTGTGCTATCACTTGCTCTGTTGCTGCTAAGAGATGTTTATGACATTCCTGTGATGTGCTACTCATCTGTGCCGGTATGAGTGCTTTTTCTATTAAAATTTTAATTCAGATCCTTAAATCTTAATGTTGGTGTTTCATGATGCCTCAGGGCCTAAAAATCATACAGTGACAAAAAGATGTGCAATGGAATTTGTACAGCGCACACTGACTTTTGAGGAATATGCCCAATGAATATTAAACAAATGGCTAAAACTCCCGGGGAATCTCACTCACCTGAGCTTTTTTCTCTTTCCCAATTATTTCTTTTCCCTTTTTTTTCCCATCGGGGTTTTATTTTCCATTGTAAGGGTACCACTCATACAGTGTACCTTGGAAAGTGCAGGGCACTAATGGTTTTTTAGAGATTTGCTTTCAAAAGTAAACTAACAGAGCAAGCTCACATTTTCCTGAGCAGTTTTTTGTCATTGTCACTGCATTTTTTCTAAGGCAGCCTGTTACAGGTGGGAGGAAGTGTGGCCATGTAGGCTGAATAAAAACTATCACCAGCTGTACTGCCAGTTCTGAAATAGTCCATTAAATCAAATAACTGTTTTTTTTTCCCCCCCCTCTGGCCAGGAGTATTTATTAAAACTAGTTGATGGAAATCTGTGGTGATTTCATTAATTACCTAGAAGGGAATTTCAGACTGCCTGCTGGGAGGAGGGAGTCAGGGACAGCCAGCCGTGTGAGCAGGCAGACCCTGTCGGATAGGGAATTACTAATTACCTGGTGCCACGGCTGTTAGTTTGGTTACATTTGGTTACGATATGCCTTTACATTTTGCTGGCAATACCAGTGTGAGAGGGGAAACGACACTTTCAGATTTGATACCTCAGTCAACCCGGGATGCAATTTCATCCAGCAAGGAGGAGGCATTTCCCTGGCCCCCGGAATCCTGGCTTGCGGATTTAAGCAGCCTCCTCTGGAACAAAAGAGGGATGGATGTTGCTCAAAAAGTTGTGCGGTTTTGACTGCGCATAAGATTAAGCAAAAAAAATCAGCTCTTCCTAACTAATAGGAAAAATCTCCCGTCTGCTAGCTCCCCTGCAAGTGAGCCGTTTGCGTTCACAGAGCAGAGTACCATTGATTCGGTGTGGATTGTAATCTCAGACCCAAGTTTTTATTTAAAAAAAAAACCAAAACCATAATGTAATTCCACAATCAAGAACTTGTAGGAATGGCCCCAGCTTCATTCTCTGGCAAAATTTGGAGTCCCAGTCTCCAGAAATTCTCGCTTGCTCTTGCTTGACTCTGCCTTCAGCAAGTCTAGCGGTACAGGACTGGGTGTCGAAGCCCTTCTGGGGCTGGATCTTTAGGAATAACAGAATTCGGAACCAAATCAGAAAATGACTTTCCCCTCTGGATAAAAATGTGTGTGTATGAATAATAATTAAGAAAATCTTCTTTGTAACTCAAGTTTTAAATGGATCTAACTAGCATATCATTTAATGATTTATGATATTTGTTCTCTTGTGTTCTTGTTACAAAAATGTTAATGAGTAGCTCTTTTTCTGATAACTACTTCCATTGACTGAACGGGTCAGATCCAATGCATCAGAGGTTTTAATAAAACTTTTCAGGCCAATGTTATTTTTGAGATGAAAACAAATACTAGCACAATCTTTCTGTATAAAAAGGTGGGGTTTTTAACAGTAATTCCACATGCAGTTTCGTAAACTAAAGTTAGAATAACATTCATTGATCCTTGCACACTTCTGAAAGGAAATCTCATCATAATTTTTTATAGTCATTATTTTGCAGGTGAGTGGGAAATCCAGATTATTTACGTACCTGTAAGAATGGATATGAAGAAAGGAAATTCTTAATGGCAAGAGAATTTCCTTTGTTTGACAATGGATCAAGCCCTCAGCTGCATCTCTGTTGATGTTTAGTATCTCACAATAAGGCGTACAAACCGTGTTGGAGTACCAGTACATGTTTACATTGCAGCTCCGTATCTTTCATGTAAAAGTCTCAAG